AGTCTCATTGCCACCATATTTTTTACATAATTGCTTTATAATGGTCAAAATGATCACCCTCTGTATCCTAAAAAGAGGCTGGGTCTTTTCTATCTTGGTCTCTTTACAAATTTTATTTTTTTGTATTAGATGCAACTCTATATATCCAAATTCTATCCACCATTTTTAAAAAGTAAAGTCTCAGTTGAAGTCCTTTTCCATTTTCTATAAAAATATAAGCTTCTTTCTATATTTTTTCTATACTAAACAGTTAACTATAATAAACTGAGAGCTTCTGTAGTACACAACACATGACAACGCCTCTTATAATACTTAATACACAGTAGATGTTAAGCATGCATTCTTTTTAAAATAGAAATGCAATGAAAAATGGTGCAAAGTTGTCAAATTTTTTGGATTGGTATATTACTTTATCTGACCAAAGACCCTAAGAATATCATGGAAAACGGGTAGGAGTTTCTTATGCAAAGAAAGAGTTGGAGAGAAACCTAGAGAATGGGAAGATATAACATAAAGACTGTGTGGTAGATGGATGCATGACACAGTTGAAGAATTAAAAGAAATAGACCGTGATTGAAACAAATTTCAAAGGGTAACATAGCTAAGCCTAGAGAAAAGTGTTGGTATCCCTCCATGCCAGAGTCTAAGATATGTTAATATTTTGATTTTTATCCTGTGTGTAGAGGTAAGTCATACAAATTTTTAAAGCAGGAAACACAAATGGATATGTGTTTTTTAAAACTATGCCTCTAACTTTACTACAGAATGCAAATTCCAGGAGTTGCCAACATGCTTGACGGAAACTAAGTGATGTTCTACTGCTCTAGGTTAAGTGAAGGATGATTGCAGCATAAAACAAAATGGTGGCAGTGCAGATGAAGAGAAGCTGAAATATTTGAGTGATCTCTGAAAGTTAAAGTTGACAAACATGCTAAAAGGATTAGTTATGGAGACAGAGCAGTAGGGGGAGAGATGAATTAAGGATGACTTACAGGTTTTTGGCTTAGGAGTCACTGGGAAAAAAGTATAAGTGAATGACTAGTATTGGTGGAGAATACCATATATTTAATCTTAAACATGCCAAATTTCAAGAGAAAGCACAATCATACAAAACAACGGGAGTGTTTTAGGAATAAAGAAGAAGGATGAGGACTGAAAATACTCATTTAACAAAATGGAACCACTGTTTTGAGATGTAATGTGATGATGAGTGTGTGTCAAGTGAAGAAATGTATCCTCTGGTTTAAAAAAATGGTTTTAGAAGTTGGGCTATGAATGGAAGACCAAAGGTAAGTCCACTTGTGGAGAGAGATATGGCATTTTTAAAGTCATGTTTAAATCATCATAGAATTAATCCAGTTAAAAATAACTAGTGCGTACAGAGAAGAAAGAAGGGATAACTGATGGATAATGTTCAGAAAAAAATGAGAGGCAACTCTCACTTTACGAAGGTTTAAAGCACAGATGCACACTTTGCTTTAGCTAGGGGCAGGCATACTTTCATTAATGAAACCAATCTAAAGGGATAGTTGATGTTAAACATATGTGAAAGTTGATTAGATTATAAAGGTGGTAGTGAGAATTTGATAGAGTTGTATCTAATATCTTTAAATTTTCTCCATGAGCTGCACATGAAAGAAAACATAAAGTTTGGGATATTTAAAGATATTGAAAAGATTTGAAACAGTTTTGCAAAGAATGACAGTTTGAAATGACAGAACAATATAATAAAATTGGTGATGATTGAACCAACAAAGTGTATGCTTGGGATGTCTTAAAAGTAAATAAAGTAGTTAAAAATAATATTCCATTTCTGATGTAGCGTTCTTGAGCAGGAGAGATGAAACAATAATGTACGTTGCTCTAAGAGTTGAATTAAATAGTATGAAAAGGCATTTTTCTATAGCAGAATAATATTTGGGAATATTTCCTTATGCAAACATGTTCCCATGTACACACACAGTTTCCGAACACTCCTTGCCCTTTCTTCAAAGAATCAGCAGCATTTATTGCCTGAGGAAGACATTAAAACTAAAGAAATTTTTTTCTCTAGGGCATCAAAGTTTTTGATTTTCAGGAGTCCAAACTTTTGAATATAAAAAAGCTAAGAACCTAAAGGATGAGAGGAATACACACTACACTTGAAAGAATTCTTGTATTATCTTGTATTATTTAGGCAGTGTTAGAAATAGCTTGAAAGAAAGACACCAAAAAACACAGTGTCTTAAACAAGGTAAAAATATATTCCACTCTCATATAAGATTCTAAGGTTAGTGATGAGCACACGGGTGCACAGAGGGAAGTAAAACTCAGTGGAAAGCAACGGTGTGTCGGCAGGTGGGGGAGGGAGTATTGGGGGAGATGGAGGGAAGGGGAATAAACCAACCTAATGGATACTCTGAACACTATCTGGGTGATAAGCACACCTATAGCCAGGACTCAAGCATTGCAATAACAATCCATGTAACCTAGAACATTTGTACCCCCTTAGTATATTGAAATTAAAAAATAATAATTTAAGGTTAGACTGGCACTGCGGCTTACACCTGTAATCCTAACATTCTGGGAGGCCAAGGTGGGAGAATTGCTTGAGACCAGGAGTTTGAGATCAGTCTAAGCAAGAGCAAGACCCAGTCTCTACTAGTTTCTACTAAAAATAGAAAAATTAGCCAGGTGTCATGGCATGTACCTGCTATAGTCACAGCTGCGCAGGAAGCTGAGGCAGGAGGATGGCTTGAGCCCAGAAGTTTGAGGTTGCAGTGAGCTATAATGATGCCACTACACTCTAGCCTGGGCACAGAGTGAGAATGTCTCAAAGAAAAAAAAATAGAATCTAAGGCTGTGGTCTAGTCTCTAGTCTAGTACAAAGGCTTGGCCATGTTCAGAGTCTTCACTCTTTCTCACATCCTCCTATCTCTGCTTATTTGAGGACTGAGAATCACTCATTGTTTTCACATCTAAGAGGCTCCAAACTATGCTTTTATCCCTCAATCGGAATGGCTGTATAGGCAGCAAAAGCCTCCCTTGGCAAAGCTGTGTTCCCTCCTTTGTCTGTTTTTGAGGTAGGTAACTCTAGCTTGATTTCCTCTCTCATTTAAAGGTCTTTGGTGAAAATAGACAGAAGAAATTGACACAAACCAATATTATTAATTTTTAAAACACTTCTCAGTGTTTTGTTAAGTTTAGTCAGCTTGTGGCCTGGCTTTCAAAATATTGCAAGCAGCAGTTTTACCTTTCTATGGAATAACAAGATCCATCAATCTTGTGATTATATGCTTCCTTGGTGCTTTCTGGTCAACTGTTAAGCCCCCCCCCCCCCAAATTAGTTATTTTTTATATTAGTGAGTTACTTTTACTAGAAAATTATATGTTATGTGGGGTAAAGGTTTAGCTGTAGAGAATGCAGAAAACTTTAAACAGGACAGTTATCATATCTACATAAAATTGCCAAGAATCTTCCAAGGAAAGGTGCATGTGCTTGTTGATCCTGGGTGCACATGAACCTACCAGACTTGTTTTCCTTTCATATTTAAGACACATCTTTAGGATCAAGATGTTTGTTTCTGCTCTTGGCATGATATCCACATTTCATGAAAAAAAACTGGAATGTGATAGAAAAATTATTTGAAACTTAGTAACAAAGAAAAAAATTGGATGACAAGTCTTTGCGATGTCATAGGGAAACCAAGTCCACACAAGCATTGGAGAATGTACTTAGTCAACTTCACTGTTAATAATTAATAATACCAGACTTAGTGAAGTTGCTTGCTAATTTGTTAATGTTATGGCCCTGTTAGCCATTTTTCTGTTTTATATCCAACCCAATAATCTTATTTTGACATTTTCTGTTAAATTGCCTATGAAATCCTTGATTTTCAGATGGTCCTTTAAACTGTCATAACATAGTGCTTGTACTCACATTAATTAATATGTTAAATAAAATATTTCACATGTATTCATTTTCTATTTGCTGCAGTACTATAACATTTTATCTTTCTGAAAATTACGCTTTAACAAGGGCAAGCCATTTGTTTTAATGGCACTAATTGAAAGTTGCTAATATCACATCTGTTCATATATCTTTGGGCATAACTTGATAACGTGGCCATACCTCACCCCAAATAAGGCTAAGAAATATAGTTGGATTTTTTTTCCTGATGGTAAAGGTGCCCAATTAAAATTCAGAGAATTTCATAATAAATGAAGGGGGAAGATGGACATTGAAGGTCACCTATCAGTTTATAATTTCTCAGCCATAAATGATTTTCTCACTTCAAAAGAGTTTCCTGGGCTATTTAATAAAGATAGGGGAAAAGGGGGGAACAGGACATTAGATGTTGGGACTTACTCCCTTATAAGAGGCTAGTCTACCATACCCCAGAGTTGGGTCTCATGTAACAATATAGAAACTCTTAATTGTTTGGGGAGAATCGGAGGGTAGAAGTGACCTGTGCCTTGCTTTTTGGGTGGAATCTTGTAGTGTTAGCCTCTGCTTCACATTGTGTGGCCACTGCATAGCTGAAAGGACTATATGAGGTATCTAGGCTCATAGACCTGAGATAGGTCCCCCAGTCATTTCTCAAACTTGTCATGGAACATGGAAATATGTCCTGTGAGACCAAAAAGAATTAAGATATATCTGGGAGAGAGATGCTTATAAGAAAAAAAAAAAAGAAAGTGTTAGCAATATGTTCAAACTAACTAACAAATTAATAAAAGAGATCCTCATATCTAGGGGATGCTTAGGTAGCTTGATGATGACAATCTGTTTCCACTCTTTGGAACTCTGTGAGACCCTGGGTTGAGGTTTAACCACTTGAGTTGACAAGTTTATATTTCTTAAAGGTGGAGGTAGAATTAGTCCAATGAAGAAATAAAATTCACTTATAGGGAAAAAAAGAAGTATTTTATGAACTGAGTAATTGCACTTAGTGCACTTTGCATGTCCTTAGACTACTTAGCTTGTATGAATAACACTTTCAGATTCTTCATGTACTCACATTCCACAGTGAACCAACTACTGTAGTTGGGGAACCACCAATAGAAGAGCTGTGTTCTTAGAAGTCATAGTTTTCACATCTCTTGCTCACCATGGAAGAAATGAGGCCAGAGCAGGGACATGAACTGAAGCGGGTGTGTAGGTAAATGTCAGCAAATACTCCATTCTTTTCTGCAGTTCCTTAAGCAAATAAACATGGTGTTAAATATCTGGGATTAAAGAGTTTACCTTTAAACTTTGAGAAACCAATGAGGATAATGTAGGGAAGAGTAAACTATTCCCTTCTGATTTTTACTTTACCTAAATAGGATTCCATTGGAATGATTGTAACTTGATTTGACTGGCAAAACACAGGTAGGGTCTGTTTGATTAATCTATCATCCTAACGACTGCCTATTTTCATTCAAATAGGCTGGATAAGGAGCCAACAATCTTTTATCCTCAAGGGCCAGACAGTAAATATTTCAGGCTTTGCAAGCCAAATCATTATAAGTACTCAACTCTTATGCTTGCACACATCTTTGGACATAACTATAGCTGTGTGTGTTCATTTGAAATAAATTATATACCATATTTTACCTGAAACACAAATCATAAACCTGTTCGGTTATTAGTTATCATAATAAAGGAAAAATTAACAACCTGCATTGGGGATTGACCTCTGATTTAATTATTACCATTCCTTTACATACATAGAGTACTTTTTATAAATTTGTACAAGTAATCATTTACTGGAAATGTTCACTTACAAATGGATTTAAACACTTTGTAGACATACCAGACACTATATTATGATAGCCTTAAAGTTTTAATAAAGATTAATATTCTCCAAAATAATTAAATTGGAAGAGAATAAAGAGGCTGAAAAAATTAGCTCTTTTCTTGTTTTAGCTACAGGATTGTTTTAATAACAATTTGAATTTTACATTTTTTACTGCCAATTTCATTTTGAATCAGCTTTTCATTCACAGTTATATTGATGAGAAGTATCATATTTCATGTTATTATCTTCACTTACAAGCAATGATATGACTCAGATTGCAAAGGTCTGGCCACCATGAGATAAAGAATTGATTTTTAAATTGGTATATTCTACAATATGGTCATTTAGCATAGATTTGTCATTTCTTTTCATGCATATGAGTGAAAATTTCAATATGATTTGCTTAGGTATTAGATTAAAATATTAGTGTAATAGTGCTAATTCTTATACTCCTCCTCTTCCAAATTCTCAGTATTACTGGTATTAAAAAATCATTACTGAGCTTCTATAGGCCAGTTTTTCTAGGTGAAGAGCACCTATATGCATTACAAACTAATTTTAGAAGTGTCATTGATATTTAATGAGTAGCCTTCTTATTCTTATTCTACAAATAGAAAATAATCCCAGAAATGTTTTCCTCCTAAGATTCCCCTTATATTGTTTGATAATATTGTTTGTTTTAAAGTCAAAGAAAAACTGATTTCTGGGGTAAATTTGCTATATATATATATATATATATATATAGTTAGGATAAGGGTTTAAGCTACCCATATAAAACTGTTTAGTGGGAAGTTTTGTATTCCAGAGTTTTGGCCAAGGCCTCAAAACCAAAGACAATTGTGCTTGGTGACTTCACATTCTGGAGAGAGCTACGGATAGATGCCTGTAGAATTTGCTAACAAGATAAAACTTGCCCATAGACCTCAAATTTACATCTGTCTTTTCTCTACAAAAGAGAAGACCCAATAACTCTTTAAAGACAGTTTGCAGCCTAGAATACAGTGTTCCAACCTCACTACTCATCCATCAACCACTGGAGGAGGAGGGGCTTCTGGGTATTCCTGAAACAATGGATAGGATTACATAAATGCTTTCAATCATGGGTTTGTGGTAGGAATGTTCATGGCAGAGCTTGGCATGTGTTTTCTAGACTGGGGGATTATATATCCTGGTGTCTAATCCTTACATAGGAACCTGAGAAAGAAACAAAACAAAACAAAAACACAAAAAATATAGTTCTGACATCCAGAAACTGGTCTGATATTCCCAGCCAGGACTCAGTGTTATAGGAAAAACATCTAACCTCACAGCCAGGAACCTTGCTCTCCTATTGGACATAAACACTCTCAGATGAAACAAGTTCACTTGGCAACCCTGATAAAATAAGGTGAAAATAGGATTATTGGGCATTCCATAAAATACCAAACATTTTCATCTCTCAATTAAGTGACTGTAACTACTTTAGCAAGTACAACTTTACTCCCACTTAAAGTTGCTCACCCTATAGATATGTGTTGCTATATCAATCATAGAATTACTACCACTTTCTGAGAGCACCTATTCCAGAGGGAGTACCCACTTCTTTAAACTCTTATCAAAATTACTCACCAAAGCCTAAATCCCATAGCATATTCTAACACCCTTCTACTGTAATATTTCATGATTCTCCACGGTGAATTTCTCTCTTGCTGCAACGAGTGATACACTCAATTTACAACTGTAAGTGTGTTACTGGTGGTCTTTGACTGATGGTTTTGACACTACTAGGAATAAGTGCTAGCTAGGTCATTCCCTGCAAGCACAGGTTGAGAGCAGAGGGCTGCAATGGGACTGAGTTGCACAGTTCCCCTAAAATTAGGGGTAGGGTGAGGGGGGCAAACATCCCATAGCCAAGGGAGCATTTAAGTACTTGGGGAAAATATCTCATCTAACAGTATCTGAAGAGGCAAAGAAACTCAGCACAGTAGTGACAGAAAGCAGATGAGGGGAAGATAAGGTATAAGCGGAGTGTGAAGGTCTCCAGTGGAGGATTCAGAGCACGCCTCCTAGTTCTTCTTATTCTCTACTGGTCTGAAAATTTGGTGGGCCCAGGGGTGGAGAATTAAATAGGTGAGAGATTGAAGTTTTGATATTAAATTGGACTGGACTTTTTAGTACCTGAAATCTGAGACTATTTTTAAACATATGAAAGTGACCTTAAAAGTTGTCATATCTACTGTAAGTATTGGTAAAGTGGAGGAAAGAGAGCATATTTAAAAGTAGTTCTGAAGGAAACATGATATTGACCTAATATATGAGTTACTCATTGTTTTTTTTTGCTTTGAATCTGCATGATTAGAGTTACCTTGAGAAATACACTTATTCCTCCTAATATTTGGGCTTATATTTAATATCTTAAAGGTAAGTTTTTAGTGACCACTATTAATTAGAACTATATTTTTAAATTCTTCTTGCTAAACCCTATGAAATTCTCCCTTAAATTAAATGATTTAATACATATAGCTATATATAAATCTTGCTACCCTATTCTTCACTTAAAATTGCAGTAAAAATAAGTTAGTTATATGGAAACCTACACCTCATCATCTTTAATTAAAAATATAAATTACATGTCAATTAGAGGGTTATTTCTGCATTGCCTATTCTTTTGATATGTTATTATTGTATACTTAAGGGAGATGATCAGAATAAGTTATATGAATTTGTTAACAGACCTCAAAATTACTTAAAATTAGAATTTTTAATAAGAGAGTCACTTACATCATCAAAGTGACATGTAAGAATTTACCGTAAGTGACAAGTGCTTTTGTGTCTCATTGATAACTGATTTTCTTCTCAGCATTTCAACTATATTGCAGATCCCCCCACTTCTAAATTAATATATACTTAAAATACATTTTTCTAAGCTGTTTATCTGTAGATAATAAATTGAAATCTCAATATATGAATCCTATAAAATGTTTGTGATCATGAGGAAGTGTTGTACTATTCAAATAAGTGGCCAAGTAGAGATGAAAGATTTAATGCAGAGAGAAACAATGGAAAGTTTCACTTCATGTATCAAAGTATGGGATGAATTAAAATGAACATCTAAAGAGAAATAAGCCAGCTTTTCCTTGTAACCTTGACTTGACTTGTAATAAAGTATAATATGGTCTATTAATTATTCATTAATAGATATGATCATATGACACATTTAGAATTTGCATGTATAAATTTGACACTTTGAAGGAAAAAATCCTTTTTCTCATTTAGTATAATTTTTACTTCTTTAGTTTAAAATATGCTTTCAGTTTTCTCAAGAGTTATATTTTAATGTAACATTTAAAATGTTACACTTGCATATTTTCTATGTACATGATTGTAACTATTAGAATCAAATAGCCTCAATTATAAGTACTCTGTATATTAACAATTAAATAGTTTACTTTATTAAAGTAGGTAGTTGAGAGTGTAAGTTAGCTACATTTGTCTAATATTCTCTGCTTTTTTAACACTTTCATTTAGCGAGATATTATTGTTCCTAATTATATGATAAGATGTTAAAATCATTGCATCTATATAGAATCTAAGTTTTAGATAAAAAGGTAATATCTGTAGCCAGCCTTTAAAATGTATTTGGGGGATAAAAACAATTATGTTGAGGTAAAGTATCAATGAAATGTCAAAGTTGAAAATCCCAATACCTTTTCATATTTTTATTTTAGTCTAAACTAAATTAGACCCCTCATGCCAGAATTAAATTCCTCCTGCAGAGATTATCTCTATTCAATTTTACTTACATACTGTGATGGCAGAGTTAATAAATGAAGATCATATACATACATTTAGTGTATTATTAAGTTTAAATGCACATGCCTTAAGAACTTCTTAATAATACAATAATCATTTAGAATTTTCTCTGGAATTTGTAGAAGGAAAAGCATCAGATGGCTCAACAAATGATTTCTCTTCAACATAAGATGTTTATTAAACATCTATGGCATAATATATATTTATCTTTCATATTTTCAAATGAAAATCTTAAATTTGTAAATTTTTCACATATATCTTGGCTTAATGCTGTCCTTAAAAGTCTTGAGCAAGTAAATTAGTTTTCTACTGTTGCCAGAACAAATCATCACAAATTTAGTGGTTTAAAACTACACAGATTTATTTTCTTACAATTCTTAAGTCAGAAGTCTGACATGGATCTTACCAGACTAATATTAAGGTGTCAGTGGGGCTGCATTCCTTCCGGAGGTTCAAGGGAAGAATTTGTGCCCCTGCCTTTTCTAATTCCTAGAGGATTCTAGAGCTCACATTCTTCCTCAACCTTCAAAGTCAGCAATGTAGCATCTCTCTGACCCTCGGTTTGTCATCACAGCTCTTTCTCTGACCACAAATAGAAAAGATTTTTGCTTTTAATGACTCCTGTGATTACATTAGACCCACCTGGATAATCCAAGCTAGTTTCCCTGTCTCAAACTTTTTAATCTTAATCACATCTGCAAAGTCCATTTTGCCATACAAGGTAACATATTTACAGGTTTCAGAAATTAAGAGGTGAACATTTTAGGAGGAGAGGGGTAACAGTCTTCCTATCACAGGAGGAAAATAATAGACATCTTCCTTCACACAGACAATCAGAAAGTAGGGCTCTTGACATATTATCTAAGAATATGGATGTGAGTTTAAACTCAAATTATAAGCTTTTATATGCTAAAAATAATTTTTAAATAGTCCTAAAAGTCACAAATGCTTTTCCTATGTCATGTGGAAACAAATATTGGAAAAATGGAAATATAAAATTACATTTCAAGTCATCAAGGACTGATCAGAGATTCGAATAGTGCTAACCTGTGTATCACATAATTTGTGGAAGACTCTGCCTCAGCAGATCTCAGTGTTGTAGTAATAAAATCTGAATTATTAAAAAAGGTAATAAAGTTGAAGCATTACCTACTGAAGTTCTTAACACTGATAAATTGGTTTTGTTTTGAAAGGCATTCTAAAACTATATTCATCAATGTATCTGTGTTTGTGTATATGTGTGTGTGTTGTTTATATGGTCTTAAATTATAAGTCTTCACAGATTTTTTTTTTTTTCTGTCTTGGCTTGCTTTTCTTAGATGCCTATTCTCTGAGGAGAGAAAAATAAAATCTGCTTAAGAAAGCAGATTCTCATTTTTTAAAGTATTTGGAAGAGTGATTCTCAAACATTTGGTCTCAGGCCCCTTTTTACATTCTTAAAAATTATTGGAAACTCCAATGGGCTTTTTGTAATAGCAATTATATCTAAAAATATTTACTATATTAGTAATTTTAAAAGATTATGTTTAAAATATCTTTAATTTATTTAAAATAACAATAAAACTTCTGTTAGTATTAACATTTTATGAGCAATATAATTTTCAAAACCAGAAAATATAGCAAATAGAATACAATTGTAATATATATATTTTTTTGCAAATCTATTTAATGAATGAGAGAGTCACATAGTTTCTTAGGATTATTTTGAAAATAATTTTTACACTAGAGATCCTTTAAAAATATGTAAAGTGAATTGGTGGGCTAGCATTTATAAAGTATTATATTCAGCTACCTAAAATGCAGCACAGTGGTGGAGGGATGTATTGGTGAGAGGCTGCAACAGAGTACAATTTTCTAAGATTCCTAGATCACATTGGTTAGTATTGGACAAAGAGGAGAAATGTACTGAAGGACTCAATATAGAGGGACAAATCAGAAGGACAAAAGACATTTTCTGGAGTTAAACAGTGAGAGCTTTTTTAGGGTTCTATAATTCTTAGAAAAAAATACAAGAAGTTTTAATAAGGGTTTCCAATCTCTACATACTTGATATCCCAAAATCTAGAAAAAAAATGCCATGCTAAAAATCAAAATTCAGGTTGGAGCAGCAATTCTCCATAACTAAATAATATTTCCATTTGTAATATGGGAAAATAAGAATTCATAAGTCTCATAAAAATCCTTTTATATATCCATTTTTACCAACTCAATATATTCTCTGTCTTCATCTTAACAGTCATATTCTTATTTTGCTTTAAGTAAGGTTAACAACCTGGTTTATGAGAGATTATTTTAGTCTTTAATATTAGAGTCTACAAATTGGATTTGAAATGATGAAACACAACTTGAGGTCATGGTTCTGCAGCCTAATAGATGATCTTGGAAAAGTAGATTAATTTTATGATCCTCGTTTCATTATCTGTAAATTAGAAATATTAACATATATCCTGTAAGTTTATAGGAAGAAGCAAATAATATAATACATACATTTGTTAACCTAAGGCACTCAAGAAAAATACTAAATATAGCATTAATATGAGTTCCTTATTATGGTTATAATTTTTGTCCTGATTACTTTTAAT